AGGCGAGGATATGAATATGGAGAAAAATGATTATGTCCACTTTATTATAGAATCTTGAAGTGATGTGGCATTGAATAAGTTGAAATAGTTACTAACTGGCGGGGAAAAATGTATAAATTCGAAAATGCTTCAATCAATTTTATTTCAGCGCCGAAAAAGGCAAAACTTTTACTAGTAATAGTTGACGAATTATTGGCTGTGCTATGGACCTAGGAAAAAAAACCACTATTGTTTGTTTTTGGTGAACTTATTAAATCCCTGCAATTCCAAAAATTACCTAAATTCCGCGCAAAAACTCAGCCGCTTTGAGATAATAGTTTCCAAATCCGATTACCAAAACCCTAAATTTAAGGAAAGCGCAGGGTTGGAGATTTAATTAGCGTCCTGCGGGTTGGCCAGCTTGATGGAGATGTATGTAAACTTTTTCCAAACTAAAGATTGTATTATTCTCTTTTGATTTTGTTCAACTAGGTTGAGTTTTGTACTATCTGGTAGGTTCACCAAGCCTCTCTTTTCAAATTCTCTGCCCTTTTCTGCACTTCGCCTCCAGTTCCCTCGTCCCTCCTCTTCCAACTTAAATGCTACGAGTGGTTCTAAACAGTAAAAAAGTTCGGTGATGTGGCGTCGAGTTAGCTGTACAAAGTTGATTATTATTGAGCTGTAGGTGTAATCAGTGGTACTCTCAAAGCCCACACTACTCTCGAAATAAACGTACTATAGCCGCACATGAAAGCAAGGGGACACGTTTGCAGCGCGATTATTTATGTGGCTTGGCTCCAGTCCCTTCATCACGTCCACTGATTGGACACACACAGAACAATCATTTTGATTTCTAGCCAATTAACAATGCGCACAGAGTTTGGAATGAAGCAGTTCTTTTGTCAAAAACAGTTTCTATTGCAACTCAGTTTCCCCTTTCATTCTAGTCTTTCAGCACACATACATATGTTCATGTCAAGCCATGCTTAAAAGAGCATTTTTTTTCCATCAGACAATAAAATTGGAAACGCCCAAAGTTATCCAACAGATTGTTTGTAATTATTTGCTTGAAGAGTTCACCTGAGAACATTCGCCAGCGAACTACAAACTGTACCCGGGTTTGATGTGTAAGTATCAGAAATGGGCAATCTCTAGTAGTTAGCTTGCGAATCACATAGAATTAGCGTTCAACTTGTTCCAATTTTAAAAGAAAATCCGCTTATTTGATATAAATACAGAGAGCATTTTATCTTCTTCAAAAAATCAGGATGACTGGTTACAGGCTGCTTTGAATCTGGAGATTTCCAGATTGCTGTTCTCTGAAATTCTCTTCAGTTTTTAGCGTTGCGCATTTATCATTACCTCGGCAGTTTCTTAGCTTCTATCCCATAAAAATTAGTATGCTCGTTGTTGAGTATTTTCTAGAAAACGCATTTGTATTAGCTGCCATATTTGTGAAGAACCGTTATGAATGTTCACTTCATTCTTTAGCAGTGCGCATTTTAATTTCGCATACATTTCTTTTTATTTTCTTATATTGGAAACCTTTGAAAAAGGTTTTACAATTACTTTCTATTGTTTTGAGAAATGTAAAGTGAAATATTATGTACATGAGAGAACTCCTTTGAGAATAAAATCCAATCTTGCTGTTTTTTTTTTTAAAAAAAGAAAAGCAAATGGAGTTGTATTTTGTATTGTATCTCGAAAATATATTTCCTTTCCTTGAGATTCAACAATCTATTTCTTTGTAGTTCATTATCAAAACTATTAATTTTCTGCGGTTCTCTGCAATTTTCCAATAGAAACAAAACAAACACAAACACAAACACAAAATAGTAGCGTGGCGTTTGGATGTTCGTTTAAACAAGTTTTGATTAATACGATTAATAATATTTTTAAACGTTGTTATAAACTAGCCATAAAATATTATAATACTTGAAAAATTATAATATATCTAACTTCCAAAGTCAAAATGAGTCAAATCTCAGGTTCAAATATTATAAGAGCACCTAGAAAACAGTATAATGAACCGTGTTTACAGAAATAGATAAATGCAGAACCTTTTATTTCCACATTATTTCAAAGCGTTGCTTGAAAGCTTTTGTGAACGTTCAAGCTTTTATTGTCAAATATATACACAATTTCCTTGTATAGTACAAATAATAAGCCAAACCATATTCATCAAATTTATAACCAGGTTCATGTACAAATAAAGATGATTCAGAAGTATATAATTCAATTGAGTTTGGGTTTAAAGAAGGTAATCCATAAAATGGAATCTATTTATTTTGAATAAAGAAGATAGGTTTAAATAAATGATAGTTTAATGTAGTAGATAGAATTTAGCAAACATTCAGCACGATTTGGGCGTGGAACCAACTCGTCCATTTAAGAAATTTGTGCAAATAAAATATCCCAAACTAGATCTGAAGATTATTTTTTTTTATCTACCCACAAAGCAAAATTACTGCATTATTGCGTAATGAAAAGAAAAAGAAGTCTCCCTGTTTGCTTAAAAGCGTAGATTTAGAAGCAATTTCAAAATCAACCAACAAAAAAAGACAAAGTTATTTTTTTACATTCTATCACAACATATGATTTAAAAGTTTGATGTGTAGAGTTCATTAAAATTAGCAATTTAAATAAATGCAAAGTTAAATACAATCATGTTTTTTCTATTATACAAATACCAGTAATAAACCCGTTATCATGTGAAACACTAGAATGTACTGAATAGCTGTTTTGTATACTATCCGATAAAATTATGTTTACAGCGGGTTTTTCTAGTAAAATTCAGCGTAAATAGTACAAAATATAGATCCTAATCGCTAGATGCAACGCAAATATGAAGCTGGGATTGTCTATAATAAAAAATTCTTACTGTGTATATGCTTGATCTGAATGTTTTTCCATGAAAGCTTAATTGTTGGAAATGCGGCTTTGTAGGCTGCTTCTTTCAATACCCATCTATAGTTCATAGCAAATATAGTTAATTAATTAGTCTAAAACTATGCATAACCTAAACTTTCCAATAAGGATAAATTAAAGAAGGCTACTGAGAAGGATATCCTTTGTCAATGGGAAAAAAATCATTGAAAATGTTATCCTTCAAATCTTTGGAATGATTTCTCATCAAATCCATACAAACCTTGTGTATACAGGCTTACCTTGTAGACAAAAATCTAACGCTCATCTTTTCAACATTTTCTAAATCAGTCCCTATAGTTATAGTCTGAAAAAGGGAGTATTCCGAATCTGTGAGAATCCGTTTGGCGAATTTGAGGCGGTATACGAGACCCTTGCTAAAAATGCGATGGAATCTTTCAAGGTGTGCTAAATCTATCCCAACCCCAACTATCATTTTAATATATTATATTGGCATTCCTTGGATTTATAAAATGAAAAAGATTATATTTGAAGGTTCAAATTAAAAAACAATATTTCTATAAAACAAAGAGCTCGTTAATCCTGCCTAGATTTCTTTGTCTCATTTTTTTGTTTATATTGGTTTTATTTGTGGAAATTCGTTTTTGCGAGTATATAAAATGCATGGTAATTTTTACCTATCTGGAAAATGTAGGCTTTCCATAGATTATTGGATAGATCAAACTATTTAACCAGGAAGTTTATCGAGCAAGCCTGGCTGGCGCAATTGGATAGCGCATCTGACTTCTAATCAGAAGGTTGCGGGTTCAATCCCCGCGCCAGGTTTTTAGTTTTTTGATTCTGATAATAAACTGTCTGCTTAAAAAAAAAAAGGAAGTTTATCGATTCATTTGCTAACACACAAGTATTAGAATTGCTTCTTATTGGATAGGCTAGGAATTTCTTTCACAATCAAACCAAAAATATCTCTAAAAGCTTGTTATGTAATATTTTAATAAAATACACTGAAAAAAAATGGTAGTTTGGCACGATAATACTTGGCTAGAAGTCGAAAACCAATTTAAAAAAAAAAAAAGCAATAAAAAGCGGTAATTTTATCTGCAAAATACTAGAAATAGTTTACTAAATCCGAGTTCCTTGTTACAAGTCGTACTTGAAGAATTTACCCCTCTCTACTCTATGATACCAAAATCCCTCTAGAATTTATTTTAAAGTTTAGA